ACTAAGTATGCACGTAATACACTATTGGACACTATCATACGCATTTTTTTCAACTACATGTAATCAGCTGGCGTCAATCTCATATACTTAGGCAAGGGATAAAAAAAGAGTACTGGGTATAAGGCATCCACAAACCCTCACGGCTAGGGACGAGCTACCAACATGACTCATTGTGCCTTGTAGGAGTTCGAACTCTTGTAAAAGATAAGACAAGACAAGGTAAGATATTATGATACCGATTTATTGATCTCAACAAAGAGAGATTTGCTGCCGCAGGGTAAATATATATTATACATGTGCACACACTCGTCAACACACACACACACACACACACACACACACACACACACACACACACACACACGCACACACACACACACACACACGCACACACACACACTCTCTCTCTTTCTCTCTCTCACTCTTTCTCTCACACACATACACACACACTCTCTCTCTTTCTCTCTCTCTCTCTTTCTTTCTCTCACTCTCTCTCTCTCTCCCTTTCTCTCTCTCTCACACACATACACATACACACACGCACACATACACACACACACACACACACACACACACACACACACACACACACACTCACACATTTACATTCACAAACGTACACGCATGAATCACAAATCAAATTGTCACTGCATGGATATACACGTAAAAGAGATAAACCAATAGCCAAAAAAAATATATTTTCTTACTCTGCAATACCCAACCGAACAACAAGTATGAACTGAAAGAGATAAGACAGAAAAAAACAACAAGCAACGAAACACACAAGGCTTTATCTCCCATGATAATATTCATTATTTTTCTGTTTCTGATTGACTATTTTACGCCTCTTTTGACACAATAATTTATGCCAAATCGACCTTGTCCGTCGGGGCCAGTCCAACGTGAGTGGGGGATACGGCATCAGGCAGAAGGACTAAAATACTTGACAAAATTAGCTCGCACTTTTGGAAATCGACCTCCCGTCTTCTTGTGTGCATTGTAAAGATCATGACCTTTGTATTAGAGAAGCCCGTTTTCTGACAAGAGACCTCAGTCAGACCTCCTACTATCAAAACAGCTTGTTATATATGTGAGAAATATCAGATGCTCCTGAGAATATGTTTCTGAAATCCTCCTCCTCCTCCTCCTCCATCATCATCATCATCATTGGTGTACGAATATAAAAGGCCAAAAAAAAAAGGTGAAGACCGCTCTGTGGGTTTCATCAGGAACATCATCATCACCATTATCAATATCATTATCAAACTCACCCTCCCGTCATTCATCACTCCGAGTGGATTGCCCCGCTTACATAACGCCGTAGAGGGCCGTACCTCTCGCTCACATAGCACCTCACAAACGACAGAAGAAACACAAGCAACACGAGCATGGAAGAAATCTGGGAGAGCAGGGTGTAGCAATACCACATGTTTCCGAAGGTGTCCATCAGATAGGCTACCAGTAACGGGTTCAGCATCGACCCTGTGCCAACGCAGAGAGAAAACGCGGAAGTGAGTCGGATTGAAACGGGAACTATTTCCGACTCGCATAGAGAAAATACGGATGGGTAAACGGCGCAGACACCGATGGCAAACGTAACTGTGAAGACGACTAAACAAGTCACCTGACCAAACCAAGCACTGATTGTAAAACAAGCCAAAGACAACGCCACTATGGACAGACATATACCTATGAGTCTAGACGGAGACGCAAACCTCGATAGGAAAGCCATAAGTAGTCTGAAGCTTGCGAAAGATATCCAGTAGATAGATGTGACGTAAGCCGCGAAGGCTTTGGTGACCTCGCGGTACTCCTTGACGAGGAAGGTCATCAAGTACGCGGTGAATGTGTCCTCGACGGCTGCATGCAAGGAGAAAAAAACACAGACGCAACACACCAAGAATAAGCGAAGACAAACCGGAAGTGTTCGAGTCTTCATTCCCGTTTCTGATTGGACGCTTGCGGTGACTCTCTTTCCGAAAAGCCTTGACCTTTCTTGAAAAACGACCCCGAAGATAGGCAGAGCTGTGAGAGAGAAAATGACTCCCGAAATAAGAAAGGCGTACTGTATTTGAGTGGTTGGCGTCGTAGTACTATCAGACGCAGTGAAGTTTCCCAATCCTCCGTCCTGAAAACTACTGTTGAAAGTTCCATTCACAAATGGCATAATTTCCATGGGTCCAAAGCGAGAACTATTGACAAGCAGCATGCTATCATTTCGAACATCTTCGGAATTTATTATGGTATCTTGTGTATCCCTCTTGACTGCTAAGAAAGGTTTCGACAACAAGGGGCCTAACACCCCACCAACAGCGTATCCAAAATGCATGAGTTGCATGAGTGACCTCCCTTGCTCGCCCCATTGACCCATCAGCTCGGAATTGCAACCTGAAATAGACGAACAGAATACGTTAACTTTTTTAAAAGGGGAAACGAGAGTTTACTGCCTTTAATCATGAATAAAGCTCTCACTAAATTCCGTTATCCCAGATAAAACTGAACACAGACTAATGGCCCGGTTATACGTAAGGATCGATCATACGAAAAATCGCTAGGTGCAACCACAACATTGCACAAAGTTTGGACAATTGGACGAAGGCAGGGAGACTCGGTCGAGAAATCAAGCGCTGCTGGATTTTTTTCGAGCGATCACGTCCAGATTTTGGGGAGACCCGCTGTGGCGTAGAATCATTATAAAATCTGCCGCTGTTAAACTCCACTCAGAAAGAGGTCCGAACTTTTTTTTCCCCCTGAAGATACACTAATCTTTGATTAAGTAAATTTCTACCCTCATATTTTTTTAAAAGCTGCATTTTGTCTTCACACATGACGTTACAGTGACTCACCGGCATGTGGTTCCACAGAGAGCAGAAACCCCCATATATGTACCTCGCTGTCTATTCCTTCAGCTATCAGGTCTGGAGCAGACACTGGGGATCATGGTACCCCATTCCTTCCTGCTCTTCTTTCTCTCTATCTTTCCACACTGGAGCATTTTCTCTAATCCATGAATTTTGATCTATTTATATGGTCAAAGAATCTCAATTGTCTTTTTCTGATTGTTCTGATTATAGATCTTTCGCAACCTTCCATTTGTAGCACTTCTCTATTTATTCTCCTCTCTGCCCATGAGATTCTGAGTACTTACTTACTTACTACCCATTACGCCATCTGGCGTTTAGGGCAGCAACAAAGGATCTCCAGCTCTGTCTGTTTTGGGCCATCTTGGTCAGCGTTCCCCACGAATGATTCCAGGACTTCATTTCAGACTCTACTGTGCGTCTCCAGGTTACTTTGGGTCTGCCCATTTTGCGACGTAAGATTCTGAGTATTCTCCATAAATACAATATTTCGGCGGCCTACAGACTTCTTTGTGTGTCCTTGTTTAGGGTCCAGCTCTTGCATCCGTACAAAAGGATTGACCGTAAATACGTACGCTTTCCGAGTTCGTATTTCGTACTTCGTTGAAGCAAGTTCCGAATGGAGGGCTCAAGCTTTTTTTTTCTCTTCAAGGAATGTTTAATGTCCTGTTTGCCTCCAGCCCATAGTTTTCAAAGGGCTAAAAGTGCTTCCTCGTCAAAAAAAAAAATTCTCTACATTTTCAGTGTCTCGTGAAGTAGAACAACCCTTAGCGCCTATTCCTTAAAACATGCGAGCGAAAAACAAAACTCTAAAGGATTGAATACATTAAGGTACAATAAATAACAAATTAGAAAGTAAATGGGCCTAATGGATAAATAGAGGAAGAAGAGAGAAAGACGTTGAGACAGTAAAAGACCGAGGAAGCGAATGAGTTATGAATATCAATCGATGGTGTTATTCAAAAACAGTTCGATTTTTTTTTTCGGTTGCGTTTGCTTTTTGCCATTGTCATTGTCTTCGTCATAAAGTGGGAAGTTAGCCAAGGTCACACACTTGGAAAATTAGCGACCTTGAATCTTATCACGGATTCCTTTACTGCGCAGCTTTCAGTTACGTGTCCAATCATTGTGTGCGCTTACAGTGAACTTACTACGTGACTAGAAAGGAAAAAAACCCCCACATTTTGAAGTGTATCTTTCTAAGCTACTGTCCACCTTTGTGTGTGTGTGTGTGTGTGTGTGTGTGTGTGTGTGTATGCGTGTGTGTGTGTGTGTGTGTGTGTGTGTGTGTGTGTGTCCTTTGTGTGTGTGCCTGTGTGTGTTCGTGTATGTGTCTGCGTGTGTTTGTGTATCTATGTGTGCGTCTGTGTGTGTGTGTTACAATCAGTATTGTATTGAAGTCCTTGGCAGAAGTCGAAAAGTGTATCTCTCTATCTATCTACTTATCCATCCGTCAATCCATCCATCTATCCATCTACCCATCCATCCATCCATCCATCCCTCCATCCCTCCATCCATCCCTCCATCAATCCATCCCTCCATCCATCCCTCCATCCATCCCTCCATCCATCCATCCATCCCTCCATCCATCCCTCCCTCCCTCCCTCCATCCATCCATCCATCCATCCATCCATCCATCCATCCATCCATCCATCCATCCATCCATCCATCCATCCATCCATCCATCCATCCATCCATCCATCCATCCATCC